ATTTCTTCGTGAACTGTCACCTAGCGTAGGCTAGCATTTTACTACCAGGCTACTACTATTATAAATATAGGCCTAGGCCTACATAGCCTAGGTACGGTAGGGACACTGAACAAATTTTGAAGTTGTTTAAATCACGATCAAATTCCAAAGTTCGCTGAACGCGTTTAACATTTTGCCATTCACGAGCAGTCAGCCATATGAAAAGGGGAGGAGTTAACTTCCAAACGGAATAAACGGCTCGAACGACAAGCTTCCAAACGGCATTTCACAGACGCGTTTGGGAGCTTGTCATATAACAATAGTAAACGTGTTTGACCCATTTCTGTCGTTGGGGATAATTTGTAGATCGCGCCTTAGTGGCTTAACAACGAATCATAGGGACTGGAGAAAATATGGCAGGACCTTGTGTGTCAGCAAATTTTGCTCTCAAAGTGGGTGGGTGATCTCCCTATCTAAAAAGATATGAATGTTATGGCTGAAAAGACAGACAAAGCTCTATATTATAACTGTGCCTTGCTGTGCTAATTATTAGTAAGAGGAGCTCAGTACTCGTAATGGTTTGGGCCTGGGGAGTCACTACCACACAGAGCTCATGGGCGTTATACCACTGTCTTGAATACCTTGGGTATGAGCGGTGTAGTTTCTTTACTTACCAGCACTATTATGGATATCAGTTATAAGATCACTGCTTTCTGGCAGCTGTGCCTGATTATAAGCATCTTCCTCTTCCTCGTGTAATATTCTTGGTAGTTGGATCATGGCTTGTAGGCATGGCTCACTAAGGGTGTCATTCTTGACTATATGGAAGGGTATCTCAAGTCGTTCATACCTAACATAGTAGACAAACATAAATTTGTGAATTTTATTTACACAAATTCTTGTTGCAAATCATCAGCATTTTTATACTGATCAGGTCTACAGTACTGTAGATTGCTTATGGCATATTTGTCTTACACATCATAGGACTGTTGGTCACAATATGGAAATAAACACAGCCTTAGCATACCTTATTTTTAAATTTAACCTCTAGCAGTATGTAACCTATGAATTAGACAATTAGGCGAAATTAGTTGAAAAACATGAGACTACAATAATATTAAAATTAACTTTTTTCATCATCTGTACACCTTCACTAGATTTCAAAGGTAACTTGATTGTTGTCACATATAACATACACTTGGTAGAGTATTGTCAGTATGTGCACAGTATGTCAGTAGAGTGTGTGCACAGTATGTCAGTAGAGTATGTGCACAGTATGTC